TCCACTATATTATTATCATTATAAAGTGAAAAAAAAAGTGATGCCAAAAAAGTGATGCTGGTGTAAGACTATACGAAGTCCAATCATGACACACCCACCTGATAATAGTATACTAGGTACACATATAACAGTCTAATGTGTGCAATATGGTCTTGATAAACTTGCAGGTGGGTCCCAGTTAAAAATACCTTCAGGTCAGTTAACCTAGTTCACTCAGATGGGATGTAAATATTTAGATATGACACCCAAATTGATATGGCTGCCTTGTTCTTCAAACATTAAAAAAAAAGATCTTGATGTTTGTACATGATGCTTTCCTCAAATATTCCTTCTCATGAACAAAGATACACAGTGCATTAGTTGCCTGGGGACATATCCAACTGGTTTGGATCAGGAAATTGACAAGCAAATCTGTGGTACTGAATGGGATATTCACTGTAGCACATCTTAATTCCCCGAGGCAAAACATGTACATACCACTACTAATCAATTATAATCAAGCCATGAGAGCCATACCTGGTGTCACATCAGGGCATTTATTATTATTTTACCTTTGCTTTATAAAGTAGAAGTAGCTTTCAAGCATTACACTTCAAGAGACTAAGTTTTTTGTATCAGAAGATACAAATGGATGAGGTGGCAGGTAATCAGAGAGAAATAAAATGCAATTGTTGTCCCTGTATGGAGAGAAATCTGCACAAGATGTGACAGTTGCACACAAGTATGATTATTTGCAATTTATATATTTTATGATTTCCAGGAATTTGTTCCACATATTTGTTTTCCCCTTTTAATATCATTCTCAAAGGCCAATAACAATAGGTAATTTTGTTGTCTTGAGATGCCATTTGACTAGATAATTCCAATCTCAAAGTTCTTGTATTAGTTTCTCAAACTTTTTGAAACCAAGTAGTGTGTTTCATATTGCCTTCCCATGCTATCAAAATGGAGTAGTCCATTATTTATAAGGTATTCACAGGGTGTAACGATTGTGTGAACTTATAAAGAAAGGAACAAGCACAATTATAATAGGATTATTATTATTATGTTTTGACTTTGTTGTGTGTAATATGTGTTGCCCTCAAGTCTCAACCAGAGACTTCAAGAAACATTTTTTTGTATCAGAAGATACAAATGAATGAAGTGCCAGGCAATCAGAGAGAAAAAACAAATTAATTATGGTCATTGCATGGAGAGAAATTGGCACAAGATGTGAGAAGGAGACATATGCATAATCTTTTGCACTTCATATATTTTAGGGCTACAAGAAAATGATTCCACATATTTGTTTGCTCCCAAAACCCCAGTAGGAGTAGATAGGTTTGCCTATTGTCTGGTTCACACTCCTCCCTGGTTTTATGAACAGGAGTAGAGGTTTACTATTTACATTGTTCAGACTATCATCCTCATCTTTGCTGTCATATTTATCACAACATTTTGGCCATTGTATGCTCCAGCATTTTTCAAGTGTTTGGAATGTCGAACTGAACCCTTTATTTCACTTGCTGGGATTGACTGTTTTAGTCCCACATGCCATGTCTGATGGATGTTAGTTATCAGTTATCTCCTGTTAATTCCCCTCTCCAAGTTCTCCACGGCCTTAACCAGGTATTGAACTCACACTCTTTAGGTCCTGTCACTGGATTTAACTAACACCTTTAGGAACTAGAACAATCTACCCCAGCAAGTGAAATCAAGGATTCAGTTTGACCTTCCAGCCACCTGAAGAAGGCTGGAGTGTACAATGGCCGAAACGGTGTGATAAATATGACAGCAAAGATGAGGATGATAATCTGAACAACGTAAATAATGTACATAATACCTCATCTCAGAAATATAGACAAATATTGAGTAGAGGTTTATTCCTTATTTCCTGTTTAGGATTTGGTTTCTGGCTCCTAAAAACCTTTCATTCTCTTCCATTCCTGGTACTCCCTTGCATCTTAGTAGTATTATCACCTTGCTTAGGATGAAATGATTAAAAAAAAAAAAACTGGTAAAATTGTCTTGTGATTTAACTGATTTGTATTTCAAGGTATTGGTATTTACTTTGTCTATGTTCCATGTCTCTTCAGAATGTTAGTGATCATGGCTCTCCACAACTTCCTATCCTTTGTGATTTCCAGTAAAGTTTGTCTTTTTGCTATACCTCCTAAGATCAATGAAAATATTTTTTTAAATAAATAAATGCTCTCTCTTGCTATCATTTTTAAATCTGTAACTAATATAAACATCTGTCTATATCTCTGAGATGACGTATTATGATTACTTGCATTATTTACATTATTCAGACTGACAACCGCATTTTCATTGCCATATTCACAATGTTTCTGCCATTGCATGCTCCGGCCTTCTTCAGGTAATTGGAATTTCAAACTGAACCCTTTAGTTCATCCACCAAGGTAGATTGTTCTAGTTTCACATGTCGTGCCTCTTCTGGATGTCTCAGTTATATGGAAACCATTAATAAGCAGTGCTAGAGAAAAACAATGAATAACAAAAAAAATGCAATATAAGCTCTAGTAAAAATAATAACAAAAATTGCAAAATGAGCACTGGTAAAAAATGGTTGTTGAGACATTAGGTTTATAAGTCCCAAAAATCCATACACAGATGTCCTCAAGGAGACATGGCCCAATGAATAAAGATGTTGATTAGATCCAGTGACTAGGCCCTAAGAGTTATGAGTTCAATACCAGGCCACAGCAGTGATGAACCAAACTTGAAGTGTTCAGTTAAAGGGAAATAACTGAGACATCCAGCAATGAAAATGAGAATGACAGTCCAAATAATGCAAGTAATATAAACACATTGCAATTTCCATATTTTAGAGCCACCAAGAATTTGATGTACATATTTGTTTGCTTCTTTTGATATTATTTCCAAAGCTCTACTAACAACAGGTAATGTTGTTGTCTTGAGATGCCACATTATATTGACTTCTAGAGTTACTTGTGTATAATTAATTTCAGAAATTTTCTAAGATTTGCATTTGTCAGCTGGAAACAACATCTATCACAAAACATGTCATCATCATCAATAATATTCAACTTTTTGTTTTCTGTTTCTACAATGTTAGTTATTTTCAGACATTAATTCATACTGAGTTTTTGCAAATGTAACAATATCTAAATATGCTGCCCAAAACTAATTTAAACATTTTAAGGGCGGTGACTTGACAGAAACAGACTAGCTTCAGTTGTTAATTATAATGCTTTAAATCCAATGTAAAAGAGATTCCAACACTAAAAAACATTCGGAAAAGATTAGATCATTAAAAGATATTGTATACACATAAGCTTAATAAAATATAGATCTTGAGAGGTTCCCATGTTTAAAAATACTTTTGATACCCCCCAATATTAGAGATGCATCTCAAAGTTCATTTTGTTTCTGTAATTTAAAAAGCATACTTGGATAGAAGCAGCCAGCCATTATTGGTAGTAGAAATGTTAAGAAAACAAATTTATTAAACTGAAGATGATGCTGATTGAGATAATGTCAGAGTTTTTGATGTGATAAACAATGATAAAAAGCAAGAGAATAGATGATAAAGAACATTACAAAGTTATAAGGATGAATTTAAAAAGTGAAACTTTCATATAATCTAGATTCATTATACATAAAGCAAAATATTTCAAGCCTTTTTTTTTATTTTGATGATTATTGATTTCAGTTCATGAAAACAAAAAAAAATCTATGTATATTAGAATATTTTATAAGCTCAATCCAAACAAAAAAACTATTGATAATATAGAAATGTTGAACTTCTCACAAATTTTTTAATTTATGCACTCAACACTTGGTTGAGACTTCTTTTGCATTAATTATTACATGAATGCATTTTGGCAGGGAGGTTCTTGTTCAACAGCATATCAACACCTTATGGGTCATTTAATGCTGAAATTTAATTTTCTTGAGAGTTTTGAAGTAATAAAAATATGATATATTATTCTGCTTTAACAATTGCATACATGGTAAATGATACTCAGCTTTTGTGCATATACATGTTTGTGTGGACTTAATTACTAGGAGGTGGTGATATGTGTGTTTATATTGTAGTTTTGTTGAAGTTATATTTTGGAATGCAGTTTGATTTAAGAAATTGTAGGATATAATATGACTTAATATCATGAAAGACTTCTTTCATGTTGGCTGTTTGATTTTGTTTAGTGACATATCAACCTCCTCGGGTCATTCAATGCCAAAATGTAAATAATTTGAACAATTTTATAGCTTCAACATATATATTTTGAACACAATTGTATGCCTTCAACTACAGATAAAATGTATTGATGATCATGTTGCTTTAAAAATTTATTGTTGCTAATTTTACCATAAATAGGTATTGTTACTAATTTTCTTTTTTTTACATAAAAATATTTGCTAGTATAAAAAGGTATTTTTTTACTTTCATAGTGTTTTGTTTGGGGGTTCACTATTTTCCCATAGTTGGGACCCTAACAGGTGCTACTGCCCTGGGTCAGCAATTAAGAGGTGGTTCCACAATCCTCAAAACCTCCATATTCCCATTCAGAGGCTCTGCTGCTGGATGTAGTTTATCATCATACCGAGGACTCTGTTATAGAAGTCCAGGATGCTTTGATAGTGGCCTTCAGCTCATATTTTTATATTGGGTCTGGTATCTTCTTCTATAGAGTCACTATATATTTTAAATCAGTAAAAATTGGCCACTCAAGCCCTGCAATACTATGGTCAATAAACTACTCACTGTTAGTTTTGGTACTGTGGTTAAGTCCCACTGGAAAAGGATTTCATCTTCATTAAGTTTGTTAGCAGATGCTCTAAAATCTCCTGATGGATGGCTGCATTGACTCTGGGGCTCGATAAATAAACATTGGACCATCACCAGCAGATGACATGGTACCCCAAATCATTACCGTAAGCAACTTGAATTCTGTGTCTCTTGACTCTTCCTTCAGACACTGAGACATTGATTTACATTTGAAGTACAAAATTTACTTTCATCTGAAGAGAAGATGGGCCATCAAACAATGGTCCTATTTCTTTCTCTTGAGGCACTGACTACAGCCTCAGTTCACAATTTTCACAGTATTTGAATCAGCTTTACTGTTACACATTTTCAAATTACACTTTTCCCTTCCAGTCAACTTTCTATGACTATGCTTTGAGACAACATTTTTTTCCCATTAATGATATTCTGTGGCTTACCACACAAGGAGGGTATCAGTGAGTGTGTTGCATCCAGCAGTTTGACAACCGGAAGTGGATTAGCTCCCTTGTTCAACAATAGTTTTATCATGTTGGGGTCACCACTTTGTAGTGGTCCATATAAATAAAATATAAAAAATATAAAAGAAGAAAAGTGACACCTAAACTGAGACAAAGGCAGAGTTCTTAATTAAAGGGCAAAAAATGTTGTTGATTGTTGTCAATCATAAATTTTTGTCCCTTTAATGAAGAACTCTGCCTTTGTTTTTGTCTCAGTTTGGGTGTCAATTTTCTTCCTTTATATTTTTTATATTTTATTTACATGGCAATCCTACTGTGGTCTGCTACAAGTGCCTTTAGAACAACTGTCAAGTCAGCAAACTCCCCAATGATTGTGGTTGTGTGTATTGAACTAGACTGAGCAATTCATGTTGTTTAAACTGAATAAATAGAGATTTACTCAAATTTGAAATAGAATATTACAATATTTTTTCTATATTTTTTGCGTCTAGGCTGTAATTGTCAGGATTAAAATAAAAAAAAAAGAACACTTTGAACATTTTAGTGAGTCAAGAATATATACAATTTTCACTTTCTGAAATAATTGACAAAAATATTGAACCCTTCCATAATACTCTAATTTTTTTTTCAGATGCACCGGTATTGATGTTTTGTAAAATATAAATTTTTTGTAATTCTTTTACTGCAAGATTTCTTGAATTCTTTTTGTTCATTGTTTATTCTTTCTTTTAGTTTCTTATCAAGTTTTTTTCCTAATCTGACAATTGCAACTTCTTTTTATTCTTTTCATTCATAATTTTCCCTCAATAAAAAGGATTTTATTTAATTTCCAATATTCTCCATTATTTTCATACTCAATTCTTCATTTTCTTTTTTGTTACATTCTCATTCTTTTCATCCCAGCTTTTCATTCCCAATTCTTCATTTATCCTTCCTGTTTTTCATTTTCAATTCTTCTCCATTTTTTCTTCCGTGTTTTAATTTTTCTTCATTTTTTTATCTCTGCTTTTAATTCTCAATTCTTTTTTTTATTTTTTTCATCCCTGCTTTTCCTTCTCATTTCTTCTCTACTTTTTCTTTCTAGCTTTTCATTCTCCACCTGCTTCATTTTTTTTCATCACTATTTTTCATTCTCCATTCTTCATTTTTTCCTTCCTACTTTTCATTCTCAATTTTGCTCCATTTTTCCTCCCTGCTTTTCATTCTCAATTTTTCTTCATTTTTTCTTTCCTGCTTTTTATTCTCAGTTCTTCTTCATTGTTTTTGTTACATTCTCTTTCTTTTCTCTGATACTGTCTTCCCATTTTAATTATGAAATTTTCTTGGTATTTTTGTTTTAAATTCTGAATGCCTATTCTCAGCACGTGTCTTCCTTCAACTCTGAGTATCTTTTTCTAAAAAAGCTCATTATACAAATCTAAGGATCTGAGTAAATGATTTAGATAATGTTAATAAAGATTAGCAAAAAGAGGAAGAGAGAGGAGGGAAATAGAATGAGTTAAGAAGAATGGTTTCCCCAAAAGTTCAATATTCTTATCATACAAGGTATTAATATTCCAAAATCTTAGTTAAGCATGACTCAAAACCCTTTAAAACAACGACAAAAAAAAAAAAAAAATGCAAGCATAAATTATATATACACCATATACATTTAGTGTTAGTATTATTTCTCTTACTATTTTTGTTATTATACAGTAATGTCTTAAAAAGGATGTTGAAGAGAATGTTGCAGTAATTATCTTGAGGTGGAGCAGGACAATAAAAAAAAAAAATGTCTATAATGATGATAACAGTTTCTAGAGAAGAAGAGTACCAAGAGGAAGATGAAAGGAAAGTTACAAAGGAGAAAAATGATAAATAGAATGATATAGATATTGGGCATGTGGCTGAGTGGTTGGAATATTCACTTTCTGACTATAAGACCCAGGTTCAAAATCTCATCATAGCCGATTTGTCAGGAAGGTGAATTATTGATTTAATCAGCTTGGAGATGTGATCCTAGCATGTGGCACTGATGGAAAGTGCCTGAAAACCATACCACAGGATGACCCAACCTGTGAGTGAAACTAGGTTGATGAAATAGTTCATCGATATTTGTCCTAGCACTAAGTCACAAGTCATTATGACTAAGGGTTTGAGCATACAGGCCTTATTCAAACTGCTGATCACACCAGATGATGCACTCTTTCGATGAATCTGTAACTTATCTGCAGTATAAATCACAGGTGAGATGTGTGAATGTTAAATAAGCACAAACATAGATAGAAGCAGTCAGCCATTATTGGTAGTACATATGTTAAAAAGATGAATTTATTAAATTGAAGATGATGATGATGCTGATTGGGATAATGTTTGGTGTAACAAACAATAATAATAATAAACAAGAGAATAGAAGATAAAGAATATCAAAAACTTATAATAATAGGGATGAGGTTTGGTATGAAAACAAAACAAGATAAACATTATGAATTTCTTGGTTCTACAGAAGGATGCTGAGGATATTATGGAGCAACTATTTGAGCAATAACAAAGTTTTAGAGAAAATGAAAACAAAAAGGAAATTTATACTTAACATCAGTAGGAGACAGTTGAGGTACATAATGAGGAAGAAAAGTTTGGAAAATCTGATTTTCCCAGGATAAGAGGGACTGAGGAAAACAATGCTTAACATACAGACCATAATATTCTTAACTCAGTCATACATAAGGACACACCCATGTGTCATCATAGGAGTTTTAGTTGTGCATATATTAGGAGACATAAGGCAGTACATTATATATTCTCACAGTTTCCATGAAATTTTGAATAATTTGGTCTCATCCATTGTCCATTATGAATGAATTTTTTTGCAGGACACTATAACCTAGTCAAGGATGGCTTCCAGGTGCTATGCCTTGCCAAAGGGCAACACTTAATTTGGTCCCAGGGTCACAGTTTTGGGTTGTCTGAAGATTTGTTGTTCTGCTGCTGGAATGCAAATGAGGAGGAATGGAACAAACAGTAGCATTGAAGACCAACAAAACAAAGCAAAATAAAACCAAAGACGTGTCTACGGCAGAGGCGATGAAGAATACCACACAAAAAACGGTGCAAATGAATGTCAAACATAACCAGGACACAGAAAATGAGGACGAACAAACAGGAAATCAGAATCACAACATTCTGTCTGCTAGTAATGCTGGCAACTCATGGACTGACGAAACAGAAAATCTATTTATATTGAGCCCAGAAACATTGGTAATTTCACTATGCATGACACAAATCATTTGCATAAACAAATTCTAGGCTCCACTCAGCCTAATGCTGTGACCATATTTTTTGCAAGCAGATGTTGTTAGGTTCATGCCAGTCATCCTCATCTGCATAAGCAACACACCAAGTATTGTCTGTTTGATCAACAGAGACAGGCAGCATTATTGAAGGTAGCCAGCAGTTCATCTTGCCTTTCATTTCTGCTACATTGTCCTTCTCCTAGAATGATTGCCAACAATGGGTAGAGAGCTCTGTGCACACTCCTATTTAACCAATATCTGTGGGGAGAAGGGATAGATTCATAAAGTGAATATAATGAACTCAACTGGAATTCAAACTTGGTTCTTTGATTTTTCAATCTAAGCTGCAATTATGTGATCTGCACATTAGTATAGATCATAAGAAAGATTATGAAGAGCAGAAAACTGAGCTTATTTGATACAAAGGATGATGACTGTGGCCACTTGATGACTAAAATGATAGAGGAGATTACAAAAGGCAAAAAATGAATTATTGTCATTTTAAGATCAATTTATGAAAAATGATAGAAATGAAGTAATGAAAATACTGGAGTGTTTGGAACACTCCCAAAACCCTTGCATAACAGATTCAAAGGAAGAACTGTAATTATACGATCATTATTAAAATTGTCTTGAATACTGAGGAGAGTCCTACAGTATTGTGAGGAATTCCATGTTATCTGGTGATAAGCACCAGGCACTGCTGGTGATAAAACTATTAGGACTTTGTGCTATAACGCTAGAAATGAGATTGGATAAATTAGAAATTCAAAAAATGATTATGACTGCCAAAACAGCATTACTGAGATCTACAAGAATACTGAGAAAGGTGCTGGAAAATTTGCTGAATGAACATCCAATTTTTTTTCCAATCATTTCATGCCAAACAAGTCAACAATGCCACAAAGATGGGTGGGTAAAGAGAATGAGAAGACTTTAGGGAGGAGAAAGAACAGTAAAAGAACAGGTTTCAGAAAGACAGATGATGATTGATGATGCATTTAAATTGTAGGTGGCAATGAAGAAAGAAGCTGGAAGAGAGTTCCAGAGGTGAGAAGTGTGAGAAAAGGAATTATTAGAACATATCTATTTCAAAAGTAAAATAATGGGACCTAGTTGCCAGTCAAGTAATACACTTCATGCAGTCAAGGTACCAAGGCAAAGAGCTCATTAGAACAACTGTCATAGAAAAGACAGGGGGAAGCCACATCATGGCTGCAGGAAAGTGATTGAAATTGAGATGTCAGGACCAATAACATTAGAAACCTTTCTTTAGATTTTCCAAAATCTTGAGATATATAGCTGGAACACCAGACCAGATATGGCAGCAACATTCACTGCATGGATGAATGTTAGATTTATAAATGTGTAAGGTGGATTCTGATGAGAAAAATTGTTCGACATGATACAAAGAACCAACTAGTCTACTTCCTCCTTTTATGATAACTTTTCAAAATTTGTGAAATTGAGATGTTCATGATTGGCATAGTCAAAAAACACATCACTTTTCCAAAAGTTATCCTCTCTCTCTCCCCCTCTCTCTCCCCCTCTCTCTCCCCCTCTCTCCCCCTCTCTCCCCCTCCCCCCCTCTCTCTCACTTCTTGATTGTACACTTGAAGAAGGCTGAAGAATGTATTGGCCAAAACATTGCAGCATAAAAACTAAAACAATTCTTGGAATAATAATAATAATTCTTGGAATAATAATAATAATAATAATAGCAAAATTATAAAGCAAACATATATGTCAATCTAAGTAGCTGTATTTTTTCACACTAACTTAAGAAATTACCATCACCTGCAAGAATCTCTGATATGCAAATATAGAATGCATTTCAAAGAATAAAAAGACCAATATTTGGCAAAATTGTTAAGATTCCATCACCCAGACTTCTTCATCGTCTTTACATCAAAAAGAAAATCATTTGACGTGCTTTTGATAATTGAAGAAATTGGCAAAAGAATAAATAACGCAGTCTATGATTACAAATTTACTTTTACTGTGAATATTAATGCCCAATTAAATGCCATAATTGTTGGTCTTAGAACACTCATCCTTTTCCATTAATAGACACTTGCTACATAATCTTTCTATACACATAATTGACAGTTCCTTTATCAATATTAAGCACTTACAGAATGATAATTAGCAGATTTGTTATGTGAACAATTGCTACTGAATTAATTACTCTCTTAGATTTCTAAAAAAATGTGTACTCTATGCTAAAGTTCGAACAAGGACAAGACAGAATTTGGAAGCAACTACACTAATCAAAGAAGAACTCCATCAAAGCTCCCAGAATTTAAAAAGATATGACATATACCTGAAGATGACTGGAGAATGCACCAGTCAAAACATTGTTTAGGAGATAGTGGCACTAATTTCCTAAAAATAAAAAACAAGTGAATACTATGGATAGAACATGTGAGTAACAAAGATGTTTTCAGGAAAATAGGATCTACTACAAAGCTGATACTTACAATCAGAATGAGGCAGCTGAAATTTCTAGGACACATGAGGAAAGATGACCTGGAGAATTTAATACTCACAGTTCACTGAAGTCAAAAGAAAGAGGGGGAACAGAAAATAACTAAATGAGCTTGCTTAACTGGATAACAGAACAAAGACAAAGAGTCAACAAAAGATAGGAATTTGTGGAGAGCCATAAAGGATATCATGCATAAAAGATTATATATATATATATATATATATATATATATATATATATGTGTATAAAAGAGAATGAAACAAATATAAATTCAAACGTTCATAAAGTTAATTTAAAAGAGAGCTCAATACAAAAAAAGTAGAAATAGTTATTTATTATAAGCTATTACATTCAAACATACATGTTACCGCAACAAAAAATGCATATTTGTTTCAATGCCCAATTCAGGTATCTCATCAGGTGGTGATCACCACCTGATGTGATTTTATTTCAAATGTAATAACTTACATATATATATATATATATATATATATATAGGGTGTGTTGTATAAATTGTTATCTAAATTATGTAAAAATAACACTGATATCTCATTTTTAACAGATATATTTACCAAAATTACACAAAATTTCTTGAAATGCTAAAGAGTAAATTTATTCAATAAAATTGCCTTTGGCTTCAAACACAGCTTCCACATGATTTCAGAATCTCCTGCATATCTTCTGGATGGTCTCCTTGTTTAAAATTGGTGAATGCTTCCATAATTCTTGCCTTCAGTCCATCATTGGTGCTACAAGGAGTTTTGCTGGTCTCTTGTTCAACTGCACACCACACATAATAATCAAGGAGGTTGCAGTCTGAGGAGTTAGGTGGCCAGATGTAAGAGGTGATGTGGTCACAGAAATTGTCTGACAGCCATGACTGGGTTCTCCTGTTTGTGTGGCATGCTGCAGAGTCCTGTTGCCAGTCATAGACCCTTCCAGCAGCCACCCTCTTGACCCACAGCAGAACTAATTCTTTAAGGCATGATGTAGGACTCTGTGTTTACTCTGAGGCCCTAATCAGCAAGAAATTTAGGAGTACTTTTCTTATCAGAACTCTCAGAGTGAGTTTTCCAAGCTGCTGTACCTTCGTAATGACCATTAGATTCATCCAACGCTTTTCGAATCCTCTGCGCTGACCTCAGATTGACAGCCAAATACTCTGAAATGTTCATATTGGAGCTTGCAGTGCAATTGCCAAGGATTACAGCATGCCATCTCCAAATTTCTGGCAGAGTGAATTGCATCATGGTGCTCTTTTTCTCAGTGACAGTGGCCAACTGACCATATTGTACTGTGCAGTCAACAAAATAAATAAAAGAACAATGCACATGCACAAAATTAAAAATATAAATTGGCGACAATTTATCCATCGCACCCTGTGTGTGTGTGTGTGTGTGTTTAAAATTCTGTAATGAATTATTATCATTATTCCCTAAGTTGTTTAGGCTAATATTCTCATCTTTGCTTTGTTTTTTTCACTGTTCCTGTTCATGTTCTTTGACTTTCTTTCAGTCTATATTCTATGTGGTAGGATATCTTTTCTGAGAAAATTACTGTGAGCTGTGATAGTTCAAGTCAGATTTTAAAGTAAATCAATATATAAAAGAGTGGGTCAGTCTGTACCTTAACATAGTTATTAGTTTTATATAGATCTGAAATTTTCCATGTATAATATTTGATCTGTGATTAATATTCATCATGGAATTAAGTGCATTGATAAGGAAGGAGATTATAATAAAAATAGTTCATAAAAATAATGGCAATTGTTTGAAAGTTTTAATAATGAAATGCAATGAAACAAAAATCTTAAAACACTGTACTGAGATTCAATAAAGTGGATATAAATAATTCACAACTAAAATAGAGGCCAATGAACCATTTAATTAATCTATTACCTTTATATGTTTTAGACATTGAGTGGTATCTGTAATTCATTGATTACTTCTGGTATTATATAAATCACCTTTTTCTCAATATCTTTTCATGTTAAAAACTTTATGTTTAATATAAAAGTAAATGGAAATATCTCTATTTCAAGCAAGACAATCATTTAACAGACAAGGTTATCTGAGAGCCTCACAGGAAAAGCTTGAACAAATAAGACTGAAAGAAATGTAGGTATAAAGGAACCAATTAATTAAATGGTTCATTTTGTTTGGGAACTAATTTTGTTTAAATGCAGATAAATATTTTATTCATAATTAAAAGGGAAGTAATCACTCATAAATTTACTAACTTAAGTTGATTTACCTTCCTTCCTACTACAGACCTGACAGAAAATATATAAATTGATAATCATTGTATGTACCCCTACCCGCTGTACCTGTAATGGCATTCACCCAGAGTGGGTTGAGCTGGCTCCAATATTGGAGTTTCATGAGAATTTGGAATTCACAAGCTCTCCCCAACTGCATGTATAGCACATGAGATTTGATTATAGTGGTGAAGGTTTCGTGCATGACCATCCATACTTTTTGAAGGACTGATTACAGAGACCTGGTGCACTACATGTCACAAGGTCCCCAAATGACCCTCTGCAGGTTTTTGAGTTCAGAGGCTGGTTTGATGATTGATAGTTTCATATAAGATAAATGTTTCTTTCATCATTAGGATGATTGAGCTATATATGCTATTTTTTTATGTTTATTGTTTCATAATTGTATGTGCAAAAGACAGAAAGTAGCCCTCAACTTTCTTGTTTTAGACACACACAATTTTGATTTCCTAAATCTGATTTTTAATCTAAATTCTATAGTTTCAAATCTTATAAAATATCTGTTTATTCTTGAAATAGCATCTTTCTAGTAAAGTATAAAATATAAAAGAAGTGATGTTTCATTTTTATCTTTCTATTATACCAATTGTTAATTTGTTAAAGAAGTTACCCAGAAACTCATTTTCAAAGGATAACTCTGTCTATTTAAGTTTGGAGAGAGGAAAATGAAGTGTATGATTTGCTTGTTCAAATCTTGTAAAATATTTATTCATGAAATAAGCATCTTTCTAATCCATTTATACAAAATCATTAGTCATTGCTTTTAGTGAAGCCTGAGGATTTTAGCAAACACTGGCTCTACAGAATCACAAATAACTGTACCAAATAACAGAAACCATATCACATGAGGACTACCAACAATAGAAATAACTACAGTGAATAGCACATTTAACTCAAAGAGAAAATAATGGCATAATCAAGATGTTGACATTCCACATTACTTAAAATAAAAGGTTCAGAAGGAGAGCCCCATCAATATCGGAAACAGCAATAACAGCTACTGGACTTGAGAAACATATTTCCTTGAAAAATTGTTTTAAGAGAAAGATTTTATAAATCTCAACCAAAAACCAGTATTGACTGCTCAGTCAATGAATGCCAAATATTTTCTTACAGGGAAACGGCTAATATTAATATTACCATAACAAATAGATGAGAATTGATCTATGATAGCATAAAAACATGTTTCTACTGTATCATTTGTATTTTTAATTTGATACACAATTTGAAGCAATTTTAGACGCACATCATAGATAGATAGATAGATGTAACTAGAGAGGTGTGAAGAGAGAGAAAATGCGATACATAGTATATGATTTACTGGGATAGGAGTTGTTTGCACTAAGGCAGACAGATTTGCAAAGAAGAGCCAAGAAAAACTGATCTCAAATTTCCAAAGGTTATCCAGGACAGCACTATTTAAAGCTGATCTTGATCGCTTTGAGGAGAGTGTCAGGTTTGTTATTCTAGCATGGCTGTCAAAAGGAAAATGAGGTGAAACAGGAAAAAAACAGTAGCATCTTCTGACAGAGATGAAAAAGAAACTTATCACACTGCATACAACTTCAGGTTATGCCTGTTTCCACTATTAGGAATTATTTGATTTTTGATTGTATTTAATACATAAGCTTGATTTATGTGGGAAAGATATTAGAATAATCCAGAATTTATATTGGGAGTAAACTGCCTGTATACAGATAGAAAATGAATTCAGTAAATATACAAAACCCGAAAGAGGTTTAAGATAAAGATGTGTCTTCTCATAGGATTTATTCAAACTTAACAGTAAGCCAATCTTGAGAGAATTAAAAGTCCTACCAAGATTCATTATTGGTGGCCACAATCTTAAAAACATTAGATATGCAGATGACACAGTACTGATAACAGAGAGAGAAAGGAAACCATAAAAACTCCTACTGGAGGCAGTAAAGGAAAGCAAAAAGAAAGGACTAAATATCAATTGCAAGAAGACAGAATACATGGGTGTCAGTAAAAATAGCAGCCCTACATGCAAGTTAAAGTTGGAAACACCGAATTCAAGCATGTACAATTTAAATATCTAGGAAGTGTTTTAAGAGAGAACAGAATATGTGATACACAAATCTGAAGGGTCATTGGAATAGGGAAAGATGCCTTCAAAAATCAAAGCAAAGTAGGAAAATTTTGCTTACAACAAAAAAAAACTAAATAGTACTAAACTGTTATGCCTATGTGGCTCTACAGAAGGATGTTGAGAATACCATGGATCAAACATGTGAGCAACGACAAAGTCTTAAGGAAAATGGAAACAAAAAGGATATTCTTACTTAGAAATGTCTAAAGCACATAATGATGAAAGAGATCTTGAACAATTTGACACTCATAAGACATATTGATGCATAAGTGACAAAGGAAAAAAGCAATTAACCTATTTGTTGAGCCTGTGTAAATGGTTGGCAAAACAGGGAACAAGGAAGGATTACAGAAAGACAAACTTTACTACAAAGGATGAGAAATTATGGAGAGCCATGATTGCCCATATCCTGAAGGGACACATAGAAGGACATAAAAATGTAGAATAATAAAAAATAACATTTTCTTGCATTCTGATTGGTTAAAAAAATTATGTCATTTATATTTATTCTTTTTTCTGGACTTTTTTTCTCCTTATACTTTCTTTTTTATTATATTGTGGAAATGTTGACTTGAGTCATAAAATCTTATATATATATATATATATATATATATATATATATATATATATATATATATATATTGAAAAACATTGTGCAGAATCTTCTTTTGGAAGTTGATGTCTGGGTGGTGTCATGTGTCTCAGAATGATAATTCAGAGAGATGAGTTCAACTTTAGGTTCATTATGTCCACTTTTGGGTAAATACCCTTGAAAATCAGATGAATTTGTCTCCCAGCTATGGTATAGTAGGACTTGTATTTGAAAAAATCAGTTATTCTCAAAAAAATGTTAATGTAATATCCATTTGTAAAAAACAATTAAAATTAAAAATAATATTTGGCTTTAAATAACCTACAAAGGGTTGAAAAGCTGTAAAAAAAAAAAGAAGAAGAAATCTTTAAATTTTTAAATTGTTTTCAGGTTAATGTTTTGGTTTTGTAGCACTTTGCAGTGTTGGATGAAACTACCTCTAGTGCAGCCTATTTCCTGTTCTATTTCCTGTTCTCCTATACTAAATTTGTTATATTGTCTGGTTCACATTACTCCCTGGTCTTTTGAACAGGAGTACAGGTTTATCCATTCTTTCTTGTTTAGGATTGGGTTTCTGGTTCTTTCTGAAGTTTTCTCATTCTTTTCAACACCCAGTAGCTCTTTTGTGTGTTAGTGACATTAACATCTTGCTTGGAGTGAATATATATATATATATATATATATATATATATATATATATATATATATATATATATATATATATATATAATATACAGACAAAGAAAAATAAGAAAGATATGAAGCTTATGTGGTTCCACTATTATGATTATTGTAAATAAACTTAGTGAGGTGGAAGGAAAGTAATGACAAAGAGATTATTGGAATATTCATTTTGGTATGGTGTTATCATATGAAATAGGAGATTCCTTTGTATTTGTCTCTCATTGAAGGCATTTTCTTTATTCTTATTTTTTCACAGAGAGAAAGAGAGATGATTTTTAATGGAATGCTTCCATTTTTCTTTTTCTTGGTTTCCAAGCAGTCATTTCTTTTTCAGATTAAATATGAAATAAAAATTAAAGATAAGAATACAGTTTCAAATAATTTATTGAGTAACAATATTGTTACTTATATGATAAAATTAAAAAAAATTCCTGATTACAAGTTAATATAAAAGGCTAATTTAATTTTTTTTAAAACATTGATAGGAAAATTAATTCTCATCTCATTCATATTAATTTATGACTTGTATCTTTGCCTATGTCTTCTTATATATATATATATATATATATATATATATATATATATATATATATATAATTGTAAAAATGAATATACTATTCACATATATTCATAATCTTGCACAAATAACTATATGCTCACAAACCCATAAGCATAATGGTTAATATATATATATATATATATATATATATATATATATATATATATATATATATATATACTATCACCCAAGAGAGTTTCTACCACAGACCTTATCTAAGTCTGTCACTTTTGCAAGAAGCCATTTCTTGAATAGTGCTGACATATTAATCCTGTGAAGATAGTGTGAGAAATAATGCTTGTCATGTTCTGAGCAATTCAGAAAATTGACGAAGCTCTGAAGCTCATACATACAACAGAATAACTTTTATTGACAAGACAGAAAGTAATTTTACATTTACAACCAAACTCTGAAGCCTCTCTGTTTCCATTTTAACTCTGTCTCCTTCATTTCCAAACTTCCTGCTTTCTTTTACTCACTATTTATTTTTCTTCCTTCTTCTTCTTGAATTCATTCTTTATTTCATGAAAAATTTTCCTCTTCTTTTGTTGTTATCTTTATTTCTTATTTCATTTTTAAAATTGTTTTTTTTTTATTTTCTTTCATTTTCAACTTCTTTCTCATTATTTAATCCTCTTCCTTTTTTCTTAATTATTTAAAAACAAAATAGTTTTTCTTTCTTTTATTTTGTCATATTAAAATCCTTTTCTTTATTTTTACTTTTCTGATCCTCCTTTCTTTTTTCTAAGTGCCAAATTCATTATTTTCATTGAAATTTTATTCCCTTAAGTTAGATTAAGATTAAAAAACAAGATTTATGTCATTGGGACATTTAGATAAGAGATCAGATAATTAGTTATAAATCCAGACTTTTTTTTTATAAAAATCAATTTGTTTTATGTATTTTTGAATTCAACAAAGTAATTTGTCAAAATTTACTTCTTAAAATATTTTCTCCTTACAAATGCTATCAATAAATTTGTATGTAAAATGTAATGAAAGATAATAGCATCAATTTTAAGCTATTAATAAGCTATAAACTTTATAGACAAAAGATAAAAGAAAGAGAACTTATTTGTTTTAAAAGTTAGGAAGTTCTATTGTTTTTGTCAATCCCATTTTTGTCTGTATATCTTTATTTATTTTTTGACGAGGAAAGTATTATTTAGATTTTAAATTCCCATTAGATAACAATTGCAGACATAATAAAAGTGGTCTTGTTTTTCTTCCATTTTATTTTATTCTTATTTCATATATATCTTCAATTTCTTTTATCCTCCTCCCCTTTTTTACAATCTTCTTTCTTTTGGTTCCCATTTTAGTTTTTCTTTCCTCCTTGTTTTTCTCTTCTTTCTCTCATGCTTCTACTTGTTTTCTTTCTTTTCACTCTTCACATTGCTTTTGAAAAATATTTCTATTCTCTATTCACACTTTACTGTTTTTAGCATTCTTTAAAAAAAAAAAAAGAAGTAAGGTAAGAGGGAATTGTTCAAATCTCTCCTCCAGTCAACCTACCTGTCCACCAGTCAGTCTCAAGGTCTCTCCTTAAGTCTTCTGCTAACATGTCCATATATATACAAAGTATACATTTCATGACTTGTCTAGATTTAATTGGTTAATTGTATTTAAATGTAGAGCTTCATAATGAGACCAGAAACTTAATGAAATCCATTTGTCTTCATGATGAGCATCTGAAAAAAATAGTGGATCTATTTATTTTGGTGTTTTTTGGTGTTTTTTTTTAACTTTATTATATGGACAATCATTCAAATTAAACTATAAGTTGAGATTCATGTGAGACTTGTTTGACTCCAGTGTGTTTCAATTATATCATAAGGCAAATCTGAAATTTTCTGGTTGATACTAGAAGTATCATATGATGAGTGATTGTCAAAATTATTATTTTAGTTGTATACAAATGTTTTTGAATTTTTAATTAAAAAATACAGAGGATAAATTCTATAATTTTCCCCCAAAAAGAGATTGCTGAGAACTGTTGCATATACCTAATAATACAATAGTTCTTTTCTTTCAGAAAAACCTACTTTAATACCAAGGAATTGGCAATCCTTTATTTCTAATATTCAATGCATTTCTCTTTTCTTTTTCTTTTTTCTTTTTTTTTTTTAAATCAGTATCACCCCAAGCAAGGCAATGCAGCCACTAACATACAATGGATTACAGTGTGTGGAAAATTAGGAACAGTAACCTTAGTAATGAGTACAAAGAGAAAAAAGTAACCAGGAGAACAGTAGATAACGATTGACATTGCATTTAAATTTTTGCAGATTAAAGTTTGCTGGGAAGCATGGCTCCAGAAGGGCATTCCAAAAGCAAGATTTGTGAGAAAAGAAACTGTAAGCATAAAACTTGCAGCTACATCTAGCCAGGTCAACTGTAAATTGACACCAGTCTAGTACTTTTTCAAAATTAAAAGAAGTCTAGGTACATAAGCAAAGAGCTTATCTGAACAATTACCATGAAAGTATTTATAGAAAAGACACAGAGAGGCAACCTTATGGTGGTGGGAAAGGATCTTATCAATGAGCTCAAAACCATTATTAATATATTTTCATAATATATAGAATAGCCCTTTTCCAACACACAGAATTGACAAAGTTTCCAATAAGCAATAAGAAAAAAAAAGAACAGGGAAAAACTTAATACAAAGCAAACAATATATGCTAGACAAAAGTAGGCAAAGTAACAGTGCAAAAAGTTCACAAAGTAAGAATGATGTTTATAGACAAAAGTGATACAGAAAAGTAATTGCAGCATTCTAACTTCATGACAAGAAAGAACAGAAATATGGTCTATAATTTATCTTACTGGTGAGGATGAAATCCCAGCATGCATCTAGACAATATGTCTATAAATTTTGGAGGGTGGATGTTTTTGCAGTCATTCCTGATTGGATTGGAGCCAACACCAATCTTTTTCTTCTCTACTCTTTCAGGTAAAGGTTTACTGAATGGTGTGTAATATGAATGAAAGAAGCAGGTGATAGGAAGTGAAAATTCTGAGGATAACGAAGATAAATAAAGACTGACACTTGATTTGACTTAAAATCAAAATGAGACAGTTAAATTTTCTGGGACACATTATGAGGAAGAGTAGCTTGAAAAATTTAACACTCACAGGATATACAATAGGAAGGAGTGAAAAGAGAGAAATAGCAATTTAATTAATGATTTTGTATAAATGGATAGCAGAGCATAGAAAAGAAGTGTTGATAAAAAGTTAAACATTGATTAGAGTTACAAAGAACAGGATGTTGGGGAGAGCCATAATTACTCACATCCTAAAGGGACACAGCACATAAATCATGATATCATGGCTTATATAAACAGCTAGTTTTATAATAAAGAAAATTTTATGAATCTACCTGGTGGTAGATGCCCAAGGAGAAATTTAAGATAAAAGATTATGTTAGGTGAAGATTGTTCCATGAATACATCTTTTTTCCTTTTTTATGTGCCATGTCCTTTCAGGACATAGGCGATCATGGCTCTCCACCTCCCTCTATCCCTTGCAGCTTTCAGCAAGTTTCATCCCTCTGCTTCCTCCCCCAGACTATGTTCTGTCAACCACCTGCTCAAGCTCGCCAGGTATGTCACACACTACTTTTCCTTGTCTCACTTTCCCTCTATTTGACCCGTGAATCAGGCCCTTCTCCCTCATAATGTGTCCCAGAAACTTCAGCTGCCTCTTTCTGATGTTAAGTATAAGCCTTCTCCTTGTTTGTAACCTCTCTAAGACCTCCTCATTGCTCACATGATTGGTCCAGGATATCCTTAGCATCCTTCTGTAGAAGCATATATCTCTTCTTCATCCTTGATGAATAGTATATATGGAGATAGATTCTTCTTTTTATGTGCCATGTCTTTTCAGGACATAGGCAATCATGACTCTCCACCTCCCTCTATCCCTTTGCAGTTCTCAGCAAGTTCCATCCTTCTGCTTTCTCCCTCAGACCACATTCTGTCATCCATCTGCTGAAACTCGCCAGGTATGTCACACACTGCTTTCCCTTGTCTCACTTTCCCTCTATTTGACTCATGAATATCAGATTCTCCAAGCCCTCCTTTCTCCTTATGTGTTCCAGAAACTTCAGCTACCTCTTTCTGATAAGTATAAGCCTTCTTTTTCTTTGTAACCTCTCTAAGACCTCATCGTTACTCACACGCTCGATCCATGATATCCTTAGCATTCTTCTGTAGAACATGAATACATACAATCCAGTAAATATCTAGACAGTGGAATTACTTGAATACTGCAGATTTTAAAAGTTGATGGGCATTATTATCGGGAGTTTGTGTAGCAAAGTGGGAGATATGATTTCTGAGAAAATCTAAATTATATATTTTCCAAAAACTTGAAATCCGATTTCCATTTATAAGTGACAGCTTACTATTTTCTTAGGTTTTTCAAAAGCCCAAACAATAAATTTAACAAAAGAAGATTACAGTCAAGTCCTTGATTGTTTCAGGGCAATTATTTTTGCCTATTGCACATGAGACCAAAATTTAATTGTTCAATTGAAGTGCAATTAATTATGTAACTTTATTTTCCATGAATGTATGCATAAAAACTGACAGACTAGGTAAATGTAGACGATTTCAATATCTATCTAAGTTATTTAAATCCAGAAAATATTTTTATATTGTAAAATTCTGTTTTTCATGCAATAATAATTAACCCATCTGGCGAAGAAGAGATACGTTCATACACTTTCCAACAGTAACTGTTCTGTCAAGATTTTTTTCCCTTTGTGCCCCATCTACATAAATTTAAGTATGCAAATAGATTAGCATTTAGGTCCTACCCTTTTACCGTTGAAATCGTTAAATACTGCCACTTCTACTCAAACAGCTTCATTTCTTGCACTTCCCACCTGTGAAACTCCTTTCCATTCACTTGTTTCCCTAATAACTTCAATCTTCAAAAATTTAAAAAAAAATGTCAATCATTATCTTCTGATGTCTTTTTAGTTAAATGGGTCTCTATTTCTCGGACATCATTCATACACTACAAAATGCTTTTTGTTCAACCTGCCATTCTTGCATTCTGCACAAACATAAAACCACTCTTCCAACTCACTGCTTTAGCCCTCTTTTATCAGGTCAACATCATGGCTGACCAACCAATCGGTGTCCCTCACTTTTGTTCTCAGTTACCTAGGAAAATAGCCTCCTCCAGTCCAACCAATCAGCACATGACTTGCTATTGGTCAAACCATGCCAAGCTGTATAAAAAACCTTGTTACAGCACACTGTTGAAGCAGTCCACCTGGGGATTAATGCCATGTTCAAAGAACAAAATGCTGATGCCATGTGTCACATGTTGAGGTAAGGAACTTATTTTCCTTTGCACCAGATGCAAGCCACTCTTGGTTCACTTGCTTCTACATGACTGTTCACCAAAGTCTTGAACCCCGTTCATCTTTCATCCTTTCCCCCTAGATACGTTTTATCCTCTCACCTTCACTCTATGTAACCCCATGTAAACCAGTTACACTCTACTCTCTGATTTCCAATTCCAGACCATTATCCATTAAACTAACTGCACATTCAAGTGATTACCCATTTAGGTACTGACCAGGCTTGATGTTGCTCAACTTCTGTGATTGTATGAGAACTGGAGTTTTAGCATGACGTAGGCTAAGAATATTACTATGTATGTTATCTTGTTTCAGCTGAAATGGCATTTTCAAAAATCCCATAAGGCAAAATGTTATACACAAATGAGACTGAAATTTCTGTCTAAAGCCCATGGAAACATTGTCATCTTTAAATAGTTCACTTTATTTAAACACAAAGTGACCATCGACTGAAGTGAATTCAACTTGAGCACAAAAGTGGACATTATAAAGTAATAGATAATTGCAAAGAGGATTTGTATTAGAGGTGAATTCAGAAAAGGTAATCATAATTAAACTAATTTGTATACTTGTTGATTAGTCTGCTTAATTGGAATAGTGGGCACTGAAAGGAATACACTTGAGTTTTGCTTCTGAAGATGGATTTTAGATTTTTTAAGGATGTCAAATGTGCAATCTATAACAAGAGCAATATATAATTACTTGTTAATAGTTTGTCATCCTATGATAATCATTATTATACTAATTAAATAATTACTTGCCTAAGTTGAGAAACATCTTAGATAATCTTTTGAAGATACAAAGAATTATCTTTCATATATATATATATATATATATATATATATATATATATATACTCAAGATGTGCTTAAACCATGATAATAACTATTTCAGTAAATTCACAAGATTCATTTTTTTTCTTACTTCACTCAATGCAATTGTTAGTTTTAGTAACAAATAAATTTAATAAAATATGTTGAAATTAACTAAAAATGTAAAAGCTTTGTTTTGATGTCTAAATTGTT